CCCGTAATAAATACGGCTAATATGAATCAACTAACAGGAAAATAAACATTACTTTGGCGCTGCAGAGGGGATGAGGAGAAGCTCGTAGTCAAAGGGCTCTGTACTTAGATCCTAAAAGGCGAAAAAAGAGCAATAATAGAATGTGGTAACAGTACTAAGCAGTGAGTCCTTAGACAAAATAACCTGTCTGCTATTGGGTGGTGCGGAAGAGGCGAGCACAAATTGTATTCAGAATATGATTACCGACAAAGACAAAGGAGACGGTAATGACTATTCCTGGCTTATTAGCCGGCACCAGCCAGCCATACCCAACCCCCCGGGTTGTAACCCGAGATGCTAACCCACAGCCTGTTGGTCAGAAGTCCAACGCCTAAACCACTGAACGGTGTGTGAACTGGTGAAGTAGCACAATCGCAAGCTGTTGCAGCCAAGTACGCTATTAGCGCTGTCCGCTCTGTTGTCGTCAACATAGTCATCAGTTTAGTTACCATGTCTCTTAGTAAAGGGCAGACCAGTTCCAAAACTTGGAATAAAATTAAAAGTCAACGTCCTCAAGAAGCTACAGTCTGTAAGTTAAAATTTATTCAAGGAATTTGTTCTGTCGGGTCTACATAAGTCAGAGTACAATTGTCCCCTCTGAATGCTCATTTCATTGATTCGAGGAAAGATAATTGCTACTGAGGGATAAATCAAACTAAGTGAACTCATCTGTTCAAATGCTTAAACTTGGCCTCCCTAATGACCCACACAGTGATGAGCTATGAACGAATTTACTTGCGAAAAAAAAATTAGGAGTAAGTTCAACATAAATGCTTTAATGGTCACTGTACAGTAACAACGAAGACGGTGTCAAAAACGCAAACTAGTAGAATGTCAAAGACAACAGAAAAAGGAGCGCCAACGAGTGTGTGCTAGGTTTTAATCCGACAAACCGAAGGCTCAACACATCTTAAAATCTCGATCTGCCACGAAAAGGTAGTGAAGACATAAAATTCAGATGGATGAATGTCATGCTAACACTACTCTGACCCTCGTTGACAAATGTTCACCCCTGCCCCTAACGAAATTTCACTAACTGCCTATATTACTCGACCATTATTTATCTCTTTTCACTCCTTATACGCCAATTGTAAGATGAATAAAACCCACCTCTAGGGTACTCGCTAATTCTCTCCCCTCGTTTGTTTGGCTCGTACTTACTGAATTTCGCGACTGTATCTATTATGATCACGACAATGAATAAAACCTGGCAGTATCCGCATGCATTTTAGTGAAGAAGGAAGGTTTCCGACGTTAAGCCGAAATCAATTAGTCAAAATGGCTAACTTCAAAATAAATGTCATAAACTACAACGAAAAACTGCGAAACAAAAGATTTAGCAAGTTGTTTAGGCGCAAATACATTCGAGAAAGCCATAGGTCCCGATAAGGAATTGTTCACCGTCATGCGAGTGTTCGCAAGAGTTGAAGGCAAGATTTCCAATACTAAACAGAAATTTCGTATGCCGTCCCGCAATCAAGCTGGAATGGGAAACACTTTACGCTGGGTTTAATGTATTTTTGAATTAAGGTATATAAATGCGTGTTCATAAGTAAATACTAAAGCGTTGGCTCAGGGCCCGGGTTTAAGTTCAGGATCTGACCGGTCTGGGACGACGGCAAATAACAACGAAATGGTCATTGTGATCTTCATTATTTTGCAATACTTTTCAAAGAAACTGTGTTACCTGACCGGCTGAAGCAAGAAAACCCACCACAAACCGATTGCAGTCAAACCATTCAAAAACAGAGGTTGCATAGAAACCTAAATTAAAATAATTCTTACTCTCGATGGCCAACCGCGTATGGAATGTACCGCTTCCACGGTCATTGGAGGAAGATTCTGCTTCACGTGGGCTTGTCGGCCCCGCTGGTAAAGCTGAAGAACGATACTTGGCTTTGTGATGGATATTTGTTCGGCCAATAGTGTTAAGCCGAGGCCTGGTGAAAAAAAGGCAACGAGGTGAGCACATTGTAATCTTCTAATTAGAAAGGAACTTTTATTCACAGAATATCAGGTGGGGTGAGAGATTGAACTTCTAGGGTAAGATCCGAAAACGGGAAACCCCGTTATATTTTACTCATCTTTATATCAGTTATATCCACAGAGAAATCCTTAACAATTCAGGAGAAGAACTGTGTAGCCTTGGAAGGTTCTTGGTTCGGAATGCAAACACGGTAGAAAAACAAATTGGCATAAACAACTAATATCCAAAGCGTAAATATCCACATATAGTTTCCCTTTCCGGCGTAATCAGTGGTTGAGAGATTAAAGCGTAGCGAATTATTCTATCCGGAGGCCTCCCCAAGAAAAGATTTAAAGTCGGATAGAACGACGGATAATTGAATGCAATTCACATGCCACCGTCAGTGAAATATCCGGATCTAGTACTTACACGAGCAGATGATTTCCTGGACTTTTTACTCACAGTTTCGAAGGATATGTGACTTGGGTTGCATTTACAATGTTACTAATGCCCTGACAAGTTTTGCCCTGAGATTCAGCTATTAATTGAGTAAGGCCAAAGTTAAAAGCAGGCAATAGCGTTAAAATATCCTTAGATAAACTAACCTTGTGTCCAACCCATTGTGTTAATTAACAAGGGACAGTTAAGTGACTCAAACTGTTTATAGGCGTCAAAGACGTATCGCAAGCACTGTACGTAGAAAGTTGGATTGGTTGATGGTGTCAGATCGCCGAAGAAGCACTGTCTTAAGAAAAGAATAAGACAAGTATTTTCGAAATAATGGCTTCAAAAAGACTAGTGTATAAAAGACAAGGCGTCACTTTCTCTGAATATTACTTTCCGATGGACAAACACAAAAAGTGACTTAGTTCTGGTCAAAGTTTCGTGAATAACACTGACTTTACAAGATGTGTAGACCTTGAAGGCCTGCTGTAAAAAAAGGGCAGATTATAGAAAGTGGGGTCAGTTTTTGACCTATCTTCGGTCTGTTTGTATGGCTGCAGCTGTCAAACAGTAGGACAACCTTCAAAATACGAAGTAGCCCCACTTTAAAATTCGCAACATCATGCAGGCCAGTTATATCAGAGATGGACAGATTCGTACCAAGTACAAGAGGGAATCTAAGTTTTAAACATCTTAAAGCACTGTGGTCCTGCATTGCTTAGCATTCAAGGCCCTTGAGGACATCGTTCCGCTACTGAAAAAGGACGTTCAGACTCCACATGAACTGAATAACTTTGTTAAAGCAAAATATTAACGCCAATTATTACAGAAATAAACAGAAAGGAAGGAATTGCGGGGCAATGCAGTCCTACCTCACTCTTCGCGAAGCTGTCCCAAGGGGGTGAGTAAATGGGGGACCTAGTAATGGTTTACTTATCAGAGAAAGGCTCATCATTCCTGCAGGCGTAAACTCAGTTTGACCGACATCACAATCTAGTACGGCGACTGCCTCCTTTGTCGTAGAAGTCACCAAACGATTGACTAAGTAGCGCATGTATGTCGACTTGCCAACATTTTTTGGGCCACACAACAATATTTTAAGGGGTTTTGCATCTAAAAATATAAGTTACCAAAACTTTCTTCGAACCATCGGTTGTTGCTCGAAAAACAACTTTGGATGTTGAGAGCTTCATCTCTTCAGATTCTCTAAATCCATTAAAAGATCTATCATCCAGTGAAGAAGTTAATTCTAACGCAAATCCAGTGCCAGCGATCGCGAGGGACTTTGAAATTTTTTGGATGGGATCGATTGAAAAAATGTCTTTGAAACGTCTGACTTCCTCAATTGAATCACAGACACGTGAAGGTAACGGCTTAAATAGGAAGAACGAAGACATTGGTGATATTTTATCGGTCGCGCTTATTAACGCCTCGATGATAGGAAGTAGAAAACTTTCCGAATCTGGACCGAAAACTTTGGAAAGTCGAGACTTCAGTTCGTCCAATGGAAATTTGTCAAGACTTTTTGATCCCAAGGAAACTGAAAGATCCAATGGTGTATGTGTGGATGGGGAATAGACGTCGAAACTTTGAAGCTCGTTGGGATGCAGTCCAGCCCCGAAAATGAGGGCACCATCGCCCAGAATGTACGTGACTGAAACGCGCCCATATATGATCCATCTTGAACCAGGTTCCAAAATACCCATCCATAAACGATTTTCATTGAAAGAGGTATCAAGGAAACAGGATCCGGCAATAATGGAAACGTCGATATTTGACATTTTCATCTAAATCAGGTAGTTGGAAATTTTTGTTAGGATAAACCTACAAAATTGCAAAAATGTAATCAGTTATAAAATGTTTGAGAACGTTAGCATGGCTGAGTTGACAATCTATCGTTTGGAATGGATGTAACCTCAAACGGACAAAAGCCAAAAATGCGACTGAAATTCTTCCATACGAAAACTAACCCTTTGTAATTAGGAAAAAAGAAACCGTGGACTTCGTTCGGTAACATGTAAATGTCTTATGCAGATAAGAAAATACAAGACATGGTGGTTGATCTAGAAACGTTGTACGATAAAATTCCCTATGCGTGCTTAAGTTGCAGTCGCTAACGTGCAACCATGACTTGATACGCGCAGTCTATCCTTAAGAGCTTAAATTAAACGGATGTCAGAACTGTTGTGGTGTTAATTAATAGAAGGAAAATAGAAATATGCAGTCTATAGACTGTCTAGAGTTTGGTTGGGCGAAATAGAAAAAAAAGGCAGGAACCAGATAAAACGGTCTGAGTGGACCATATGTGCTCGCAGAGGATTACCACACAGTTCTGAACCGGAATTCCAGTTCAAGTGATGACGCTATTCAGTAGCTCACCATGAACAGCTTATAGATCACTTTTACAAATAAGTTGGCCACTTTGGGCAGAGGCTAAAAACGCCTTTGAGTCGAATTCCTCCGCGAAATAAGTTAAACGAACAAATCCAGCAAAGGACCGACAACAGCCCTGATAGCAATGTCCTTGCGCCTCGCAAGGTCCAAATTTCCTTGCTCGATCTAGTGCCGTAGACCGATAAGGTGTTCGGTTTCGTGACCTAATTGAGGGAGGTTAGAACTGGTTTTGATCTCCCCAATCGCCGTAAGGAATATCCCACAGCGCTGCATTGACGCAACACAGAGACCAGAATTAAAAATAGGAAAAACATGAGTAATAGAAGACGATGGTGATGTTAATTAACGATATGAAGAAAGGGGAGCTACGCATGGTAGTAGACGACGACCAAGTTCGTGACCGTAAAAGTCTACGTACAATATATTGCCGAGTTTGTCACATGTCAGTCAACCAAAAAAACTGATGCGGCCGTGCACAACCACATCCCTAGGCCACACACACACATTCGACTTATTTAAACGACGTCAATATATTACCATGATTCAACATAATGGGAGACGTTGCTTATAAATGCCCGGTATGTTTAGTTAATAAGCCATTTTTATGAGGCAGTCCTCGAAAGCACGGGCACTTTTGTCCTGATCACCGGATTTTTTATATTCACCGACAGTATATTATAAGGATAAATAACTTGAACAAAAAGGCCTCTTAAACCGGTAATTCTAACGATGTTAGACAAACAGGATGCTGCATTAACGGAGTAATTGCCCACTGTATGTATAAAGGGTCAAATTCATCTACTCAGAATTCTATAACGTATAGATGACAGTTCGTCCGTCGTTCCCAGCAATGTCTATCGTATGCCCCGCAGCGTGCTGTGCGCCGTGTCGTAATCTTGCAGGTGCTTCAGTTTTCTATGAAAGAAGCTTTTCGCAATATATGCCGCATGTCGTCTTCCATGTC